CAATAGCCTCTATTTTTTTTCGTGTTAGGTTTCATAGCATAATTTTCCTAAAGGGTATTTGGCAATTGCCAAATCTGTTAACTAATATTGATTAAAATCACTAAAAATATCGTTAAACTAGGTGTATACAAGTGTGCAAGAGGTACATAAGTCTTATAACTAACTGCTGAAAAGTATTAGCAGTTATAAGATTTTCAGATCTGTCTGCAGTTTTATAAAAATAACAATTAAAATTTACTGTATGCATATCCTTCGTTTGTTCGGTAAGGATGGAATAAAATAACGCTGTAGCAAAATCCAAAAAGTCAATATCCAAAAAGTTGCTTTCTCTCATGTCTGAGGAATTCTTTTCCCGATGTTACTTGATCCGGGTTCTGTGTAATTAAGTCGCTTTTAGAACCCAAAATAGCTGTCAGCTACGTATAAAGTATGTTTTTTTGTTGTTTAATTCAATCTTTAATAGTAGAGGAGTATGTGTATGTATACTTTGACAGTATTTAATGGAATAAAGTACAAATTGGAAGTGACAAAGAACCTTGCACTACTATAATTTTATCACTGCTTATCATATAACTCGTAGTAATACGAAATCACAACAAAACGGTCTCGGATTTTATCCAGTTTTGTATATACTCATTGAAATAACTTTTCCTCTTCGTTTTGCTACGTTTTACTGCTTATTAAAAGTAGTTTTACAGTGATTCGATAAATTTTTATCATCTGCAATTTTATTGAATATTCAATGAGAAATGTGATACAAGTGAGATAGCAAAAAATGAAACTAAAATTAAATTGCACTACATTCACACACAGCATGTAGCTTTTGACAATTGCATGACATTATAATCAAGATAAGCCAGAAAAGAGATATAGTTTCACCGCCATTTATCTTACGCGAGTAGCACTCATCGAACGACCGTGAGAAAGTCGTGTGAGGAAGGCGTACACTCGGATTTTTGCACGACTCGAAACTGGGAAGTTGCATAATCGACGCAAAACCTCAGCGTCCATTGACGAGGAGAGCGTCGCTTGTGCACCGGCAGCGATGCGTCGGTTCCCACGCCCGGGCGTTGCGTCAGGCCGACGCTCGGCGTCCTCGACGCAAAAAATGATCGCCTGTCGCAACGCGGGATTCGCGACGGTGAAAGCGCGCGCAATTAGCGTCGGTTGCGCAATGCATCGAGATGCCGTTCTTTTTTAGTCCCTAATTGGCCGCCACTACACCACTGTCATCAGATGCCTACTGATGGATGCCCAGATGGATGTCTAGATGCTGACTGATGGAATTTCCGATATGCTACGACTGTATTGTTATTAAGTAATAGAGGTAAATAAAGTGATAAAGGTCTTTGCGCGCATCACTAAAAGTACGGATAGATTTCAATTAGTTCTTCTGGGTCTTATTTCTTAGACACTTGGCCCGTATCTAAGAGATCTTCATTTAATGTAAAGTTATTAAAGTTTTAAGAAACAATTTTTATGAGCAAGATGTTCAGTGATGTGCGTTTTGTTGAAGTGCAGAAATGAGTCAAACGGTGTTGATAATATTATAAGGAATAGAGACGAAGTCACGAGTATAAGCTAGTGCGTAATAATAGTGTGATTTACATCTTTTAACGACATTGATATGAAGCAGCAGAGTGGAAGCTTATAAACTACGTTTTCGTTCCATTACAATCAGTTTAACACCATAGTAAGTTAAGTACTAGAAACTTCGTTCCCGCCAAATAACACTACATACTGAGTTAATACATCAACATACACCATAGTTCGATCTCGCCTTCGAGCACGGCGAAACCAACACAACGCGTACATTAGGTACACCCGCGTTCCAGGACGGTTCTAAACCCTCCCAGCCACCGACTAACCAAGCACAGTCAACGGCCATCTGGGTCACGGTCCGCACCGATGGCCCGGAGGCGACATGCCATAATTAACGCACGCATGAGTACATGCTAGGCCCTACCTACTGAGGAGGGCCTTAAACCCGTGGGTTCTCGCTAGCTCACCGGTTCTGCGTTCGATGAAGCTTTAGTTATACAAAAAATACAAAAAGAAAGAAACGTCGTCTTTACATAGTATAAAATAAAGCCGCTCCCGCTTAGATTTTTTAAACTAGGTAACAGATTTTAATTCAGTTTTCAGCATACATAGAGTGATTCAAGAGAAAGGTTTATATGTAATATACATGCATATATATTTTATTTATTTATTTAAAAACTTTTTGCACATACAACGTTGTTTTTTTTCAGTAATCTCTCTTTTTTTTACAATCAATGCACCTACTTAAACTTCTCTGGACCACCCAAAGGTTGACTGGTAGATAATGCTGATGGCATTAAGTCCGACTCTGTACGTAATTTATGTGCATAAAGTATAAACAAAACAAATAAACGTACAATGGCGGACATAACACCATTAGATGTTCTCTACCAGTCAACCGACAAATAAGTACATACAGTAGAGAAAAGCCGAGAAATTGAAAGATGTAGTAACAAACATATTTTTGTACGTGTTTGTACTACATGATAAAAAACAGCTGTAAATATTTTATTAATCACTTCACACTGCCCCACATTTGTATCTACATTTCACCCTTGCGAAGCCGGGTAGGGATCTAGTGTTTAATAAAAGGTGCATGGACCTTCGCTCTCATGGACCTCACAACTCTAACGGAGCAGCTTGTCAGCTAGGAAAATCCACGCTATAACGAGCATTTTAAAAAGTCAGGTCTGATCCACGGGCATAGTTCAACCGAAATTAGAATTATCCAATACAAGTCCAATACAAATCATATCCAATAAAAGACAAGCTATTAGCTAATCCCATTAACAAATTTGTGACAGAGCCCTGAAATTAAAATGTCAGTAATACCGAGAATACAGCTACGTGTTGAACTTTTACTACTGAATTAATGGAGCTTCGAGGTGAAGCAACCTACGTTAAATAACGACCAAACACAAAGTGACGGCGGAACCGCATTAACAATCTGTGTGATTTATTAGCCGTACAATTCGCACGCATACGAGATGTGTATTCAAATCACGATCGTTAGAAAGCCGAAGATCGCAATTAACTTTACGGACGGCAATAAATAAAAGGTGCCGAGATAATGCGTGTGTTGTAATTTCGGTCTGTTACTAACAACTTTTTATGTGAGAAATTGGCAAGCGAGCTGGTGGTTCACCTGGATGTTAAGTGATAATCGCCGCCCATAGACATTTGCAACACCCTTAGGGTTGAGGATGTGTTGCCACCTTTTAAATAAAGTGGGGTATGGTCACCTCATCTCCAGGCGAAACGCTGAATTGTAACACTTCCGCTTGACGCCCGTCTTCTGTGAGATCGTGGTGCTTCCTCGGACGGACCTGCCCATTCTTGTAACAGCAAGGCGCAGCCTTAACACAGCACAAACATGCGATCAACAACTCTGTTTGAAATGCCAACAATGATTTGGATGATTACAAAGAATATGATAATCTTACGGTGGTAGGGCCACGCAGCAGCCTCGGCTGTAGCACGAATGGGCAGGCCCATCCGGGTAAAGGCCCATCCGGGTAATTACCACGACCTCACAGAAGACCAGCGTAAAGTGAAAGTATGACAAATACTTTCACTTTACGTGTGGTGAGTGAGGTAGCCGGAACTCGATTTTCAAAAGGTTGTCAACGCATCTGTAACCCTCGGTTGTGGCAGATGTCCATGGGCGGCGGTATTCATTTAACATCAGGTGAACCGTCTGCTCGTTTGACAAATTTTCAGATAAAAATAAATAAATAAACAATGAGAACGATATGTGTTAAGTAAGACAAAACGATTAAAGATAGTTTTGTGTCCTTTGAGAATAGCACCAAAATTAGAGCTATTCTGATTGGATTTAAGACGAGGTCCAAATAAGTCATAAAAAATAAATAAAAAATCAATTTCTTAATCCTAAATCATATAACATCAAAGCAAAACAATTCCTCACCTAAAATTCATGTCAATTAATATATCATTACTAAAAGAAAATCTCTCTGCTTAGGTTTTGACGTCTAAAAAGACTCTAAAATACTACAAAAGACCTGTATAGAATAAAAAATGAACTGTAACTTAAATGACACTCACCAGCCAGGTCTTTTATGAATGATTAATGGGACAATGTTCGAACCGAAACTGAGCACATTGTGTAGTTGCGACGAAAAATGAGCTCTATTCAAGATTTACTACGTACATTTTTATCCCGTGTAAAGTTTAATCGAGTCGATAAATACTTAATCGCGGGACTATTTCCCCAATTTGTGTAGGTGACATGAGCGAATAAATTTGTATCTCCCACTCGCATTCCCCGTAGAGGAATTTGTTTTAATTGTGAAACAGAAATTTTATTCGAATGCCTTCACGTTTGCCTCATTTGTGGCTCTAAAGTTTGCCGTTGAAAATTTGACTACTTAATTAACTCTTTCTCATCAAAAGTTGACAATATTTTGTCAACAAAGAAGTACATTATAGGATTCGTAGCGATTGATTGTACTTGATGTTAATTTACGTAGGTAATTTAAATTGACCAATGTGCCGACGACTATGATATTTAAAATCGTCTAAAATAAACCACGAAGTGGTTGACTAACTAAATAAAGAAATTAAAATTTGTAGAAAAAGTACGAAAAGATTGTCGACACTGTGGGAATCGAACCCATGTCTTCGGCATTCGACTTAACCTGAGGAATTGATATAACAATGGATGCGTCAAGCATTGCTTCAAATGCTAAAAAACAATATAGATAAAGGACGTTAAGATTTTCATCATTGTGGAAATCAGCCGTTCAGCTTAGTGGCTCAAGTGTCTGACCGCGAATGCCGAAGACGTGGGTTCAATTCCCACAGCGGCGACAATCTTTTGTTACTTTCGTACTTTTTCGTACTTTTTCTACAAATTTTAATGTTTAATCTTAAGTGCAGAGATTAGCACTATAAAAAATAAAATTTTTAATTAAATAAATGCTTATTTTTTGTTGCAGTGGCCAAACCCAACTACAAAATGGCAGCCACCCGATGGTCATACGTTTTCGGTAAGTAAATATCGTATTATTACGACTTGGGCATTTTACATGCCAACAATGATAACAATGATAACGATACTAATTTAAAATTCCTCCATTTCGTGACCCACTTACAATTTTACTGACAACGTTACTAGATCACAAGTATTACCTAGTTTATCATAACTGATCAGCGTTATAAAAGACTTATTAATATTATTACCTTTTCCATGTTCTTTTAGAGAAAAGACCCGGACAACGTACACAAACAAGACAGTTGGCAATATCCACATTTTGACGAGTTTATGTAGTGATTCCGTAATTTCTTGTATTTATGCGATTACACATTTTAAATGAAACTAATTTTACGGATTTATCGCGTCTATTTTTAATTTTAATTCCCGACGTTTCGAACCCTTTACAGCGTTCATGGTCACGGGACAGACTGAGGTGTTAGACGTCTGATTGTCATAGTTAACCCGGGCTACCGTCAGTTTTTGGATTATTAATTTTGCGTCCGATCTATGCAGAGGGAGCTAATTGTATCTTGTTGCAGTAGTGGTTCGCTTGGGCCTAGATTTAATTTTATTGATGACAGAATCCCAAGCTGATGCTAGTACCCAACCCTCCTCTCTATTGAAATTAGGGTGTTTTTTAATTTCAATATCCTCGCGAATCATCCTTGGGAGGAATAGGTGTTCTTTTGCAAGGATCTGTGGTCTATCAAACCTTAACTATGACAATCAGACGTCTAACACCTCAGTCTGTCCCGTGACCATGAACGCTATAAAGGGTTCGAAACGTCGGGAATTGAAATTAAAAATAAACGCGATAAATCCGTAAAATTAGTTTCATTTATAGAGTTTATGTAGTACAAACTTGATGGGTGGTGGAACCAAAGAAAAATTTCGATAACAAGCAATTAAGAAATAATAATTATATTTGGCCGTAAGAAATCGAAAATACACCCCACACAGTTATGTCCACCACTAAGATTAGAACTTACACCACCACACTCTCTAACTACTAGTCCTTGTTAATGTATGTGATAGCACTCAGAATTAATATGGCATCATGACTGACGAAATAATTTAAAGAGACAGTGAGTAAAACTGAACCGTACTTCTTATTATTTCTAATCATAACAGCATAGAGCTCTCGTAAGTTAGAATTGGAAAAGTTCTGAAGCTTAATCAATGCGCTAAACTAAAATGTTGAGTAACTTGAGCAATTACAAACGAATCTTGTCATCTCAAACTTATAGGATCGTTTAATATTATTTCTGCAGCCATGTTTGTTTCGCTGATACGTTCTTCGCAAAGTTGACAAATATCTACCTATACATTATACTTGTAATTTTATGTGTTACTAGATACCTACTTTCTTTAACCTCACGCTTATCAACTAGTGGAATATACTCGTTTTTATCTTTCGCTATTGCATATACATCTTCATAGTATAGGAAACACATCAATGCATCTACACTAATTTAGTCTTATATTTGAAATTATATTTCCTTCAACCATCTTGTGTATATCGTGATCCATATATGCTCGGTAAAAGCATCCTATATTTTCCACTTTACTCAATTATAACAGGAGCCCAACAAACCAATTTTCTCACCGCGTCTATAAATCTTTATTGCGGTCCAATTTGTAACCAGCTTTCTAACAATGAATCCGTACCTACATAATATATTAATATTTATATATTTATTAAGACTAACGAGAGGGCAGTTAATGACGAAAACAAAATAGTAGACATGAAAAGCTCATCACAGAATTATGCCTAAAACTGTTAAAAATCATATAATATAAATTTATTTGGTCCGATTTATGAATGTATAGCTTTTTTTGTGAGAAGACGGAAAGCGTGCGGTGTTTCACCTGATGCTCATGGACATTGAGAACACCTGAGGGGTTGTGGACTCATAACTTCGAAAAGTGTTCCGCTGTTACCTCACTCGATAGACATAATGCGAAAATACAACAATTCCACTATACGCCGGTCTTCTTTGAGGTCGTGGTACTTCCTGACACGGCCCAGCCTATTCGTGCAACAGCAAAGACAGCTGTTTTGGCCCTTCGGTTAAAAAGCTCAATGATCATTATTAATAATTGTATTAGTATTTTGCAATGTAAATATAATAATTAAGCTAAGATAAGATAACAGTTAAGATAAGATGATTACTTTTCGACGAAAGTCTGTGTGTATGTAAGGATGTTTGTTACTATTTCACGCAAATACTACTGAATGGATTTTAATGCAACTTTACAATAATATAGCTTATACATGAGAATAACACACATAGGCTATAATTTATATACATGTTTTTATGTATATCTGTCTTTCTGTCTGAATGTTACGCCTTCAGCCTATTCTACGCAGACATAGTCGCGGGCAGCAGCTCTAGTAATGAATAAAATTCAATTTAAGATATTTTTTGGACCTAAGAGAATCTCTTAATGTTTAGGTAGATTTTCGAGCAACAAATTCAGTGACCATTTATTTTAATTAAATATTCTCAGGGCATCGTTAATATCGGGCGCACAATCTACGAGTACACGCACGGTCCCACGGGTTTGCATGCTCCAGCCGAAAATAATGGAAAACCCGCCCCGTAATTGCGAAACGCTCAAATCTTGAGGAGCCGCGGAGATTACACATTGTTAAATCTCGAACAATGGGTGAGAAGGGGGGACGCCTACCGGCGTTTGTTTCGGCGGCCTTGCGCGGACTGGTGAACGCCTAATAATTTCTATTTATATACGCGTCGGACAAACATTTCAATTATGTTTGCATATTACAAACTAGATGAATTCCGATATTAAGACAAGAATTGCAATCTAGGTATGACCTTGTTGTATAAGTACAGCTTACAGGCACTTAAACAATCTTGTAAAGTTGTGTAATTAAAGAATAATATAAAATAACAAGACCACAAATTTTACAATTTTCAATTTTCTTGCCCGTTCTTCTCTGGACAGGTCTAGTTAAGTGAACCGGTGGTAGGTTTGACGTTCAATAAGAGCTTAAAATATGGCTATATTGAATAAATGAATTTTGGCTTTGAATAGATGATGTCTGCTCCTCAAAGAAATAGATTAGAAGAATATTTTTCAGTCCTTAAATACATCCCTCCATAAAGTAGACACATGAGTAAATCTAGTCAGCTTAGATTGATTTATTTATTTAGATATGAAAGATTTTGACAAATGAGAAGACGATGATAAACAGAATAGCCTATTCCCCAGCCCGATAAATTCTAAAAGAAGAAATAATTCAGCTATACAAGAAGTCGTATCATTCTTTTGCGAAACAATAGACAATAGCCCCATATTTATCTTGAACACGAAAGAAAAACATCTGTTCTGTTTTTACACTTTTCATGAACATATACATTTTTATGAAATCAGTGATTCGATATAAGTCCATGCCAAGGTCGTGAATTTATTTTTATTTTAATATCATATCTTATATTTAAATAGCAAAAAACAAAAACTTCTTCCAAAAAGTATGTGTACAAGATCTTTGTCATCTCTATATATTAAAACATGAGGCGAAAACTTTCGACAATTTTAAAAAATACTAATATAATCATAAGTAGTATACAATATTGAAATAGTTTCATTTAATAACACCTCATTGTTTTAGTTCACGATTTTTACAATGTTTTGTCAAAACTTTTTTCTATACATACGTTGAATAAACTTTAATAATTTAATATTTTTATTTCATTCTATTTTACAATGACTTTTGAGCTTTTTCAAATTCTACAAAAAACGATTTGAAAAATTAATTGCACGAACACATGTACATTTGTTGAGTATACGTATATGTTGTATGTGTTGTATACTAAGTTCTGAATTACTGGGCTGTTAAACTGATAAAATAATTCCCGCCGAAAGCTGTCAACATAATATTTAGACTCATTGAGTCGAGAGATTTCTAACCGATTTTACGATCGGATGGGTATTTCAATTCGCTTCGTTGGTAATTGCTTAGTACCCATAAAAATTAGGTTACAAAATGCTTAAGTTCAGTCCTTGACAAATTTTATCGCTTGTAATCTGATATACTTTAACTCGACCATGCCTTTAAATTAATTGGTATTCAAAGATGATTTATGGATGTTTTTAAATTTTTGGCCACAATAATTTTTCATACGTGCAAGCTGAATATTGTATTTTATATTATATAATTTATTGATTTATATTATATAGTTTTTCTTACACTATAACTGACATATTGTAAAGTTGTTCCAAAATTAACTAAAAAACAAGGAAATCCAAGTTTAATACTACATTTACAGACAGGCATAATCTAGAAAATGCCTTGTCGGCAGGGTAAAAAAGCAATGTCCTGCGAAGCCTTAATTAGTGACTAGACTAACACGTTTCCAAGCAGTGCTCTATACGGTTTGAAAACTACGAGAAAGTGTGGAAAGTGACTCAATTTGGCCAACACACTTTGAAAGTCGAACGTATGTATATAATTCAACACGCTTGAGTAAAATGTAAAATACAAAATCAAAATGAACGGTCACCGAATCGTCTAAGCTATCTTTTATTCAAGAAAATTTTAACCTCGAAAAAGTTAATTATTTCGCGAGATTGTGTTTATAAAAGATAGAAGAAACAAGTTAATGAATTTAAGATGTAAACTTTTGGACGGTTAACTAATTATGTAATATTAAACAAAAAAAATTAAGTAATTTTAACTATATAATATTAATAACAAACTACATATCTCCGCTCCCATTTCACGCCGCATTGGTTAAATAATTTATCAAAAATTATAATTATATCCTTTTGGTTCGTATGTTCATAATACTCTAACAACATCCACTCATTAGCTCCCAGAAAATTGATCATAATGGTGCTAACTATACTAACATATCTTTAGGTTGTCACTCTGTAATTATTTTTTACATTTATTACATTAACATCTAAGATTTTTTTTATGTGAAAAGATGTCAAACGAGCAGACGGTTCGCCTGATGTTAAGTGAATAACGCCGCCCATAGACAT